GTCCCTTGTTCTTACTGTATTGTTATAGCTGGTCCATATTAGGTATGCGGTAAAGCCATGAGCAAGTGTGCACACATACAGAAACGCATTTCCACACAGATCTGGAAGTTGGGGAGGCTAGACAGCATGTGGTTTGCCCTGTCCCACTTCTCTTTGTGTTCACCAACACACTTCCCCATCCTCTCTGCCTGCTTCTCTCGCTCTGCCCTCAACTTTTGCATAATCTATCTGCTTCCCTATTATTCAGTCCATTACCTCTCTCTCCTCAACTTGCATCCCTCTTTTTCCCTTTCCCTGGTAACAGCATGTGTTATCCTGACAACCACCCCAGAATACCTCTGTAAACAAACAAATTGTTGAGGGCAATTGGCTTGTGTTGTTGTGCAGCGATCAAACAAATGCCTCTCTGTTCATGAACCAGGCCATATTATGCAAGGCCAAGTAATGTGATTCATCCTCTGATTTGCTTCAGATTCACTCGGCGCCACAAAAGACCACTTGTATGGCTCTAATGAGGAGCTTTAAAGTTAATATCTTTCTTCTTTTCATGGGAATAGTTTTGCAGCATTAAGGCAAATATCAACCAGCCTGACCATCTATAAACCAGGATTGACAAACCCTGTACCAAAATATCTCACGTTACAGTAAGCAAAGAACTTACATCAGCAAGAGCATCCTTGCTTAATATTATTTCTTGATCTGCCTGCACTTTTTTTGGTTTTCATTTAACCTGCGTAATACATCAAACCAAATCCACAAACCCAGGGTTCGCTGTTTGGCCCGTTTCACTTCTCTATCTATACCGGGTCACTCGGTACAGTCATCCAATCACATGGCTCTTTTTATCAATGTCATGCCGACAATGATGCACTTACTGACTCAACTAACCATTTAACACCCTTGAGATATGATCTAGCAAACCTCCAAGGACCTCCAAATTCATGTTCTTATCAAAATGCTTTTGAATTCAACATACTTTCATATCTGAAAACATGCCTGGGTCAAATTCCCCATATTTGAGGAACATATATATATATATATATATATATATATATATATATAAACTGTATTGTAATAGGCTTCTTTTCTATTTAATTTGATTTTGGGTGTAATTTTGGTCTAGAGATGTTGTAGAATGAAGTGAATCTGGAGTTTAGGAACTTGCAAACCCAGAGCATTTACTGAGAAAGGTGTAGCAGAGGACAGCAGAATAAATCCTCTTAAAAGAAGCTGATTTACAATGAGTAAACTCAGTAATTCCCCTGTTAACACTAGAGAATGTTACCCCGCACACACACGTTTAAAGTGCAGACTACCCCCTAGTTCTCTCCTTCTTTCATGTGGTTTCTTCACATCCTTCAAAAGACACCCAAATGACTCTGCAAATGGGCTGCAAATGTGTCATGCAGGTTATCCACAAAACCCTTTTAGCGCTGCAAGAATGCTTAACCAATCTAACCCAACGCAACGGTTGACGCAGACAAGCGCAACAGGTTTGCAACACATTATCGGGAATTAAAGAGAGAAAAAAAGAGACTATTTAAAAACCATTATAGATTTTTTTTATGCATTGTAAAATTATTTTAATTGAATTTATGCACATTTCCATCCTCAATTCTTATTATCATAATGTGAAAAATATCATTCTGATCATTGTAATGTAAAAACAACAGTGGTGTTTATAGATTATGGCTATATGTGTTGTACTATCTTTATACTGATTGTATGTACAGTAAATTATCATTGTATCCTACCTAAAGCTCTTTACTATTTGTTCATTTAATTTCTTATTTATTCATTATTATATTATCTTAATTTCATTCATTTCTTTTTTACATTTTCTATTTCTCCAAATAAATTTCTGTTTGGGATAGAGACTGAAATTGTAAAAAGCACTGTCTGTGTACAATTTATTCGATTTTTTAAGTATTATATTGTATATTTTTTAATATATACAATTTATATATTACAGCATTGTATTAAATCACAACTGAAAAACGGTAATAGACAGGCAGGCAGGCAGGCAGGCAGACAGACAGACAGACAGACAGATAGATAGATAGATAGATAGATAGATAGATAGATAGATAGATAGATAGATAGATAGATAGATAGATAGATAGATAGATAGATAGATAGATAGATAGATAGATAGATAGATAGATAGATAGATAGATAGATAGATAGATAGATAGATAGATAGATAGATAGATAGATAGATAGATAGATAGATAGATAGATAGATAGATAGATAGATAGATAGATGACAGACAGACAGACAGATGATAGATAGACAAATAGAAAAGGTCAAAACATTATATTATATATTTTTAAAATTTTTCATAAGGATATTATTTTGTTAAAGGGGATAGTTAAAGGGATCTTCAGCAAAAGAAAGAAACTGACACAGGTTTGGAAAACAAGGTTGGAAAAACTATTTTAGAACAACTTGAACTTGAGTAATTGTAAAAAATATTCCTAAATATAGGTTTCATTTTCTTGCAGAATAATAATTTGACTTGTTTTCATCTGATTTTGAGGTGAAATATGTTCTTGACAAGTTTTGTGAGATTTATAAGGAATGAGATGTACAAGATTTTGTGAGCCTTTATAAGGTAAACAAAGATGCCACACGGTCATGATAATGAGAACACAACTGGTGTGTATCTGTATCTGTCCCTCTCAATCACTTTGCTCTCTTTTTCTGTCTCTCAATCACAAAAGCACAAAAACAGCACAGAAGCAGAGCTGTCAAGAGTGTTTTCTACATTATTCACCACGGGCTTGGCTTATGTAATGCAGTCATGTGAGCGTGTGCCTGTTGGGAAGCCGGAGTATCATCAAGTAGAATGCCTATGCTAGTAACAGGGCTGATTATGCAACGTGCCTATTTACACAAGCACCCACGCAAAACACATGTGTGAGCACAGAAACCAGCCCTGCCAGGCTGGGAAATCTAACTGCTCTACAATTCGTTGACATTGACTGCTTCCGCCGCCACGCATCACCCTCCCTGTCCACACGCAACCTCGCATCGAGGCTAGCCATTTGCCAGGTTGCCATAGCAACCGCACTGCACCTGCAAAACCCTGGCTGTGCGACTGCAGACGGTGACGTGTGGCCCTGCTCTGAACTGGACAAGCGCTCGCTTTGCCTTAGTGTCACTGAATAACATATTACTATCAGACTACTACTAATACTGCAATGTACAGTGCTTTTATGCACATTTTCTGTATGCATAAAATATACAGATTGCTTCTTTTGCCAAAATATGCAGTATACCACTTTTAAAAGCTAAACAAAAACACAAAAACCAAAACCATAAACTTTTTTACAAAATAATAATAAAAATAAAAAATATATATAAAACAAAAAAAATAAATACAAATAATATAAATTAATAATATATATATATATATATATATATATATATATATATGTGTGTGCTTTTAAACCATTAATTAAACAAATTTAAAACTGTAAAATAAAAAAATAAAAACTGTAATATATATGAAAACGTCAGATACAAAAACCTCTAAGTCTGTCTGAGATTTTTAAATGAGCATTTTTATCAGGCTCCTATGTTAGGTTCAGTCACTTCACTTTAATGGCAAATAAAAGGTGATTAGTCAGTTATTGAATGCCTTATTTTTTTTTAAATGTCCAAAGACATTTTCATAGGAGCCTGATAAAAAGCTAATTTGAATGAAAAATCTGAGACAGACTTAGAGATTTTTGCATCTGAAGTCTTCATAATATATAATTATGTCAATGATATAAAATAACTCTGAAAATGCAATGTGTTCAATGCGAACTTAGATTTTTTTTTTAAATGATAAAAATATTGCAAATAAACATGCATTTTGTGCTATACAAATAGACTTGAATTGATTTGAAAAATAAAACAAGTCAAATATATTCTGGTTCCGAATTATTATTTACGGTAGCTGAGAAGTGGAAAACAAATCACAATTCCAAAAACAAAATAACAAATTACAAACGCAAATCTAATTTGGATTTGTCATTCTGTTTTCTGACTTGTTATTTTGTTTTCGGAATTGTTGATGTGTTTTCTGATTTGTTATTTTGTGTTTTTAGATTTGCATTTGCGTTTATAATTTGTTATTTTGTTTTCAGAATTGTGATTTGTTTTGCACTTCTCGGCCACCGTAATTATTTGATCAAACTGCCAAATATATTTTCCCCAAACTAAACTAAACTAAACTAAACTGCCAAATATGAAGACGGTTTTACACAAAACAAAACAAAATAAATAAACATATCAAAAATTTTAAATACCCATTTTTGTTGGCAAGATGATATATAGACACCTATTAATTAAACATGTAGCTTCATGAGGTCATGTGATACAATAGTACAATACTGTACTTACTAATAATGCCTATTTTTAGTAAGTTTAACCTACCATAAATATATTCACTAAGTAGAAAGTTGCTATTCTTGAAAACAGCCTTGGCCTCCCTACATTCCTTTAGTTCCTCTCTCATTTTCTCTCTCTCTGTTTTCTTCAATTTACCCACCGACTCTTTAGTGACCCGAGCTATCTGGCGCGCCTGCAGCGGCCTTATTAGTGTTTTCTTATCTCAATTCAATGCATGCTCTCCTTCCCTCTTCCTGTTTTGCACCAGAGGAGGATGCCCTGCATTTCAAAGGAAAGGACACGGCTTTCCTACACACAGATGAGATATGCAAAAACCCCACCTTGCATCAAAACAGCAATTCAGATAAAGTGTCTGGATATGCTTTAGTTCACGTGGTAATTACCTCTGTCATGCATACTGTTAATTTTACCACATCTGCCCTGGATCAGCTGACACACTGTGCCACACACAAGTGCCACAATCGTTGTTTACTACAGTATCTGAATTCACTGCAGGTTTGCACATGACATGAGAGGTTTAAAAGCAGAGCAGAGGCTTATCTCATGTAAGTCATAAAAACAACCCCTCAAAAACACAAGAAGTGAGAGCTGATCTCACCTGTATGACAGGGTTCCCTCCCTCCAGCAGAGCGATGGCCAGCAGGATGCTTTCCTGGAAGATTCGGTCACTCGTGGCGTTCATGATGAGGTCAATGACCAGGTCAGACGCACCTTCTCTGTCCAGATGACACTGCACTTCTGCCAGGCTAATCTCCCCTCGACTGCCCACTGAACCTCCACCACCTCCTGGGAATAAAGAATATTAAATATAAATATTATACATATACCACAGTTCAAAAGTTTCAAGGGAGGGTGATTTTTTGAAAGAAATGAATTATTTTATTTAGCAAGGATGCACTGAATTAATCAAAAGTGACAGTAAAGACATTTTTTGATGCTACAAAGGCTTTTGCAAATAAATTGTTCTTTTAAAAGTTCTCTTCATCAAAAAATCCAGCAAAAACAACATATCCACAAACATATCAAGTAGCACAACTGTTTTCGACATCGATTGTAACAAGTTAAATGTTTAATACAATTGATGACCAAATCAGTATATGAAAATGTAGCTTTGCTATCACAGGAATGAATTACTTTGTAATATGAAAAATGATTTTAAAACATTGATTTAAAAAACATGTATTTTAATATTTGATTATGTAAAAAAATCTAACTTTTATTTTAATAATAATGTAAATATATGTTTTTACTGTATTTTAGATCAAATAAATGCAGCATTGTGAGCATGAGAGACTTCTTTTATAAACATTAAAACATCTTACCAGACACTGGAATATTGGCTTAATCAGTTCAACGCATTTACATGACATATCATATGACAATATTTTGATATTAGTTAGAATTATAATGTGCATGTACACACATTCACTGAATATTTCAGTCATTACAGAACTAAAAAATCAATTACAATTATTGTAATTTTGTCCAAATACAAGTCCATTTCTTATATAATTGCTGCCCTTTTTCAGTTCCGATCAAATTTTAACGGTACAACAAAAATCAAATAAAATCAAACCAATTCATGACCAAATCTCAACTGCATTCAGTGTTAAGAACTTGAACAGGCCTTTTTGATGAGATGTTGCAGCAATTTTACATGAAATCTAAGGACTGGTAGTCAATAACTGATCAAACAAATGACCTTTTTGGTAAGTTTGGGTCAAAGTTTGACCAAAACCTAGTTTTCCTATCATCTGCAGTAAGTTTCCTCTAAAGAGATATTCGCTTTAAGTGCGGAGGAAGTGCGGGTGCCATATTCTTGTCGCCTGGCAACAGCGATGGCTCCGAATATATAGAACACATAGCATAGAGAAGAAAGTGGTCGGGGAGGGAGTCATCTTAACAGCGGGGTATTACAAAATGAAGTTGGTGTCTATGTTTGAAAAGGTCAGCTTGCGTCATCTATTATAAGAAACTTAAGGTGCTGCACAAACCTGTAGGAGTCTTGGACTGCCCGCCGGGGGTGAGCGGCCCGTTGCTGAAATTGGTCAAACTGTCTCGCCTGCCTCCCGGCTTGAAGTTGCCATAGTAACGGTTCACCAGGACTTGCCTCAAATCTTCACTCTGACAACAGGGAAGGGGGCGGAGTCACAGGAGGGGCATTATGACAAACATCATCAACGCCGAACATCAGTGTGCCACCATGACAGACATCATCAAATGGTTTGATTTGAAAATAAAGAAATAGATTATGAAAACAAACATGATTTTGACATGAATGTGGCTGCAGATTTGAGATATTATATTGTATCTTTTTTAATGGAGAAATACACACGTATCCTTCCACAGGTGGTCAACGAGAAACTTTTCCAACATTTAAAGGGGTCATGACATGAGAAATCAAATTTCTTTGATTTTTTTTGGCACAATTGGTGGCTGACTAAATACTTTTTTGCCCCACTGTATAAGTTGCCATTAAAAATCCTGCAAGTTTCATAAGCTTAAAACATCCTCCTCGTTATAAACAAAACATTTATTTAATCAAGCTCCAAAAACGGCTATTTTGAATCTGAGGGGCAAGGTGACATCACCTGGCGCAGTCGTTTGCATAAACACTGCCTCCAGAGCAAGACATTGACGAATAGTCTTCTTCTCACCATAGGCCACTTAACGGCTGACACTTGATCATGCTGAATGCGAGTGTCGCATCAAAAGCAAAAAGAAATTACAATCACTGCCGCTATCTTGTCTACACTGGATACAGTATACAGATGCGCGTTTGCTTTCTGACACAGTCCACGTGCTTGAGTCTGTCGTCAGGACAAATAGAGTGAAAGAACGTTTGCTTTGACGCGTTTGGTTTAAAAAGCTTGTTCACATCTTTGTACAGATATCAGAAGGATCCCAGCATAAGTAACAAGTGGATAATTTATTTCTAATGGCACCCCGGATAGTGTCAAGAGGATTGGTTGGAGCATTTTGTTTTGTAAACGAGGCACAGTGTGTCATGGACAGTTCACAAAGAAACATGTTGAAAGATGAAGCAGAACTAGATCTGACTGCAGATGCATCACAAACCATAAATAAATGATTTCATAATGTTTGTCTGAAAATGACTGTTTATTTTGATTATGTTGTCAAAACACTCACATGCAATAAGAGGGGGCATTGATACAGTTTCCTATGCAATGACTTTAGCCAATAATAACAGTGGCCGATTACTGAGAAGCCTTAACTGACACACCCCTTAAAAACAGGTCGTTTTAGACAGAGGGTCAGAATGAGGGTTGAAAATAATAATTTTTCCACATATTTATTTGTTTTGTTTTTTTTGTGCAAAAAACTTTATTAATGTTATAAGTAAACCTCAAGGAACAAATTAAAGTGAAAAATCCATGTCATGACCCTTTTAACTTGAAGCCTGTATATTATTTGTGTTTGGGGTCAGTAAGAATTTCTTTAATAGTTAGTATTAATAGTTGAATTCAGGCAGAATGCGTTAAATTGATCAAAAGTGATAGTAAAGACATATAAAGTATTTCTATTTTAATAAAATAGAAATAAATTAAAACAAGCCTTTCTTTCACTTCTTTTTAACTTTCTATGGAGTCCTAAAAAATATTTTACAATAAAAAAAACAAATGAGCAGAACAACTTTTTTCAATGTTTCTTGAACACCAATACAGCATAACAGAAACAAATTAGGCTTAATAAAAACACACAACTACAATAGAAAAGTTATTTTAAATTGTTATACTTCACAATATTACAGTTTTTACTGCACAGACTAATCTTAACCAAACTTTTGAATGATAGTGTATTTAAAATGCCAAATTGCTTTATATACATTGCAATGGCTTATACTGCTTCATAATAATACTTGCTACACCTTTAAAGAGCATAACTCATAATAAACTTTGAGTGCTCACTTAGCAAAGGTGTAACTATGTATAGGTTATGCAGTATGTTGCATGTTAACTGTCTAAAGGTGTATTATGTAATATATTATATTGAAATTCTCAATAACGTGTTACATAAACAGGCTTCAAGGAAAGTGTTACCGAATTAATTTCCTTTGTGGGATGCTACTCAGCTCCTCCTCAAGACCAGTCCCTACCTCGTCCTGTTACATTTGATTAGTTCAGTCAGAAACAGGTCAGAAAGTAAGACAGAATCTGATAACGCTAGATCCCTTTCCTTAGTCGCTTCTAACCTCATAATACCAGAAGCCTCGGATACAAGACACCACATCAATTAAGACTGATCCTAATTCAGTGATTACACAGTTAAAAACAAACCCAACTGCTCACTCAAAACACCCCCGAACCCGAGTCCGTGGAACCACACACACACTCACAACATCAAGATGTTAATCACCTAGAAACGGCTCAATCGGCTTCTACAAACATAAAGAGCAAATAGTGATCCAGTGAAACCTCCACCCCTTTGGATCAGACAGGAGGGTGTGAACAGGGTGAGTTTGTGAACGGACAAATCAAGCGGTGGCCAGGGTGTGCGTCCTGTGCCCCGAGCCCTGTTTCTTTACCTACCCTTCTCTGATCCTCCAGTTGCTTCTGGGGCTGGTTTGGATCAAACTCCTGAGTGACGTGAGTTAGCAGAAAGCAAAAAGGAGGGAAGAAAAATGAGAAGCATAAAAAAAGAAAGGGGTCAAGACTGAGAACATTAGTCACTATTTAGACATGCACAAAAAAGTGGGGCAGATTACATCATGCAGTTAAATGAGAGGCTTGGTGTGTGTGTGTGTGTGTGAACGTGTGTTTGGGAGCAGACAGGCGCTGAGGAACATCATGCAGAGCATAGGAGCATGAGCTTCAGTTTATCCATAAAGCCCTAAAATAATCCCTAAAAGAAAGCAGGAAAGGGGGTAAAACAGGAAAACTAATAAATAATAAATTTCATAATATTTGTTTTTGAATCCCCTGCCCTTTAATGAATACAAACCGTGTTGTTTGGCAGCATCAAACTCTGCTAACCTATTCTACAGGCCATCTGTTTTATGTCGGACCGTAGTTGTGTTTCTACAGCAGCAAGAGCGGGACTGAAACCATGTTAATTACATAAGCACCGCACAGGGCGCCAAAGCTAGAAACGTTAGCCATGAGTGAGAGAGAAAACTTTTATCCAGATTATGTAATGGATCCTGTCTACTATTGACACACACTGCGGCCCATGCCCTCAGCTGCCTTGGAAAAGCGGTAGGTCTGCTTTTCGTCCTTTCTTCTCCCTGTCTGTCATACACACGGATATACAGTATGTGGGTACATGCAAAATGTACAACAGCGACAGACCACTTTTTTGCAGCCTTGGTTTCAGAAGGTTTCTTCCTCATTCAGTTTCTCCACAGGCATTTCAAAAACTAAATAAATAAATTGAAGAAAGGATTTGAAGTCATAAACCAATTCAACTAGTTCACGGAATGAATGAAAAACTTTAAAACCTTTGGAAAGTCAGAGAAAAGTCAAAAATATAAATATTATTAGCTGTAATTTAGCTGTTCTTGTTGCAACAGCAACTTTTACTGATTGGGGATCCATATAGGATATTTCTTTAGGATTCACCCTGAAATTTGGTTAGTAAACTTTGATTTGGATCAGAATATTTAAGAAAATCAGAGAAGAAATGAAAAAGTACAAGGCTGTGTCTTTTATAAAGGATTTATTTTTTAAAGGGATAGTTCATCCAAAAAGTAAAATTCTGTCATCATTTATTCACCCTCATGTCGTTCCAAACCTGTATGAGTTTCTTTCTTATGTTGAACATAAAAGAGGATATTCTGAAGAATACTGATAATCAAAAATGTGATGGTCCCCACTGACTTCCACATAATTTCTTTCCCTACTATGGAAGTCAATGGGGACCAACAATGTTTGGTTCTTCAAAATTCTTCAAAATATCTTCCTTTGTGTTCAGCATAAGAAAGAAACTCAACATGTTTGGAACAACATGAGGGTGAGTAAATGACGACAAAATTTTACTTTTCGGGTGAACTATACCTTTAGCCACACATCCCATGAAGCACAGTGAATGCCAAGCATGACAATAAAATATAAAACTATTGACTTAATGTCATTCATGATTAGACATTATGTTATATAACATCAACAAGAACATAATAATACTAACAATAATTATAATTATTATTAAATTCAACATACCATTAATTATAGCAAAATATTCAAAAACAAATATAAGAGAGAAAGTGCATGAAAACTCATTTACTTAAATTATTTGCAGTGTTTCATGGGAGTGGAAGGTCAATGTGTTGAATTCTTTGAGTATGTTTTTTGTTGCCATAATAACAGCAACTTTAATTGGAGGACCTTCTTCAGAATCGAATCTATAACTTGGTTAGTAAACACGGTTTACAAATAAAACTGTTGAAATCTAGAAAGAAAAAAGCTGAAAAGCTGAGATCATACAAATCCCGACTTCTACAGAAGCATATATCTCTGAGAGCATGGTATGCTTCTTTTGAAAGGTCATTTGTTATCGGGTAACTTCTCAATGGAGAAAATGAATGGGTTTTGACGACCAGATCCCAATCGATAATCAGCAAGACCAAAAAGAGGTCAGCTTATTGGTATATTTCCACACCGAGGGGGAAAACAGATCTAAGAGGAAAGCTCTAAGTGTGGTGTGTGCCAGCGTGGGGCTTTGTTTTCCCATTTGCATGGGCAGAGATGACTCAAAGCGGAGATAAAGAGGCTATTGCAATGCAATGAGGCAAGGACATGGTATGAGACGATCAACTACTGACTGCAACAACCCATATTCCCACATCCCAGCCCAAGGTTGGCTGGGAGGGTGAATATGTGTTGGACACACCTCTGCTGGGACCTCTGGTTCTGGTGGGGGTGCAAGCTAATGGAGATAAAAAGTCATGAGTTAGTTAATGCAGATTAGTCTCTGGCACTGCTAGAACGTGTTAATGCCCTTGACAAACTAGAAACTCATTAATGCAGCGTGCATCAGACCCATCAGAAATAACCAGCCTGAGAGAATAGACTTTCCTACACTTAAGCGTCTGCAGATTGGGAAGGCTGCACATTCATCTATGCCAGCGTAGGGTTGATTGACCTCAGCAGGTCAGCCTACATGTCGGCTTCTTATCAAAAAGGGTCATCGCAGTGGGGAAAAAGGGAAAAATGTGCACGCAAACGTACTTGATAAAAGGCTTCAATACCGATTCTCAAGCAGTTATGTAATGTGTTCTCAAGCCATGACTTGGCAGAAGAAAACATTACACTTAAGTGTTACCAAGTTGGGTGTGGGGGAAAAAAAAGTTTTTTTTTTTTGTGTGTGGGGTTGATTTTCAAAAAGGCATGTGCAACTTGTTTGGTCCTGTCACAACATTCACATGGAAGTATTTCCACAATTTTTGGTGCATTAATAAGACAAGAAAAGACACATAAAATCAAAAAGTTAAAGTCGTGCAAGAGCAAAAAGGAACGAGCAAAGCAGGCTACATGCACGGCACGCAAACAGTTCCTTGTACGACACGTCAGAGACAATGAAAATTATGACTAGTTTGAGTATACTACTATCGACCAAAAAAAAAAAAGATTCAGATAGCATAAACACTCAGTGCCATTTGATATCATAAACATTTGTTTGATTCAAAAGGATGCAAAGAGGAAAATTTGAGCATGTTGTCTGGAACCATTCTAACACAAAGAAAAAGAGGGGGGTTCTAAATTAGCAACAGCCGTGACGCACGCACATGTTTGTGTGAGTAATACTGCAACCAGTAAGGAATCTCCCTTTCTGCGATATAAGTTTTCAGCTGGAAAATAATGCTGCTGCAAAACACAAGGTGTGAATGTGAAATGTCCCTCTCTAGCCACCATAAATGCATGCTTTCATCACAAGCTATAAAAACACTTTCTTGTGAATTTCCCCATGAGAAATCGATAAAGCACATCCATTCATCTGCACATCCGTCCGGTAATGAATCCGAATTCGATTTAACACTGACTTTTCAAAGAGCTCTTGGCTACTTTTTCTTCCAGTGCAAGTCACAAGTTTGTTGGGTATGGGGATGAAGCACCTCGAGCATTCACTGATATCACGACTTTTTCTTTACGGTGCATGTCAATGGCGAGAAGCTTCGAGGGTTCATTTCAGCCACTGTCATTGTCGAAAAAAAGCCTGGTTGGGTTTGCAAACACACTTTCTAACCTGATGAGCTCAATAACATAAATGCGTGTCTGTCTTAAAGCTCTGGCCTAAAGACTGAAGGAAACTCACTTGGTGACCTCATTTACACATTTCAGTCTAATAAGACGGAAACTGAACTGCTGCATTCACAAAAGGGTTTAGGATGTTGTATGTCCACCGGAGGGTCTTCGCCACTGCCAGAGTCTTTTGGTAAATAGCCCTTCACACTTTTATTGCCAATTATTGCAGAAGGTCACACATCAGTAAAGAGCCTGGATTCCAGGAAAAAATAAACAGAAAAAAAAGAAGGGCAGGTCTTATGTAACCTCTGGTTGCGAGCTGGCAGGAGTCCAGGAATCGTGCTGCACGAAGGCGAGGAAACTGGGACAGCGGCGTGCTGCAGGGACGGATGTGTCCACAGCTCCCCCTGATGGACAACACCAGACATGCAGAGGAGGAGCCAGAGATAACAGAGAACACATGAGGACAACCGACCCCAACTGACACACACTGACTACTGGAACCGACTCAATCTACTGACATAGAGAGAGACACATACAGAGAGAAAGAGAGGGACAGAGCAAAAGATAGACAGGTAAAGACAATGAAAAATATAAACAAACAATGAATTAACAAGGAGAGAGACAGGCAGAGAAAAAGAAAGTGAGAGAGAAAGACAGAAAGAAAGATTATGACAGACAGAAAAAAAACAGAACAGCGAGTAAGACAGAAACCGAGGCAGACAGACTTATAAAAAGAATAAATAAAAGATCACACTTTATATTAAGGTCCCATTCTCGCTATTAACAAACCATTAACTATGACCTTTGCCTCGGTAAATTCCTAATTTGCTGCTTATTAATAGTCAGTAAGGTATTTGTTACGTTTAGGTATTGGGTAGGATTAGGGATGTAGAATATGGTCATGCAGAATATATGCTTTATAAGTACTGATAAACAGCCAATATGCTATTAATAGGCATGCTAATAAGCAACTAGTTAATAGTGAGAATTGGTCTCTATACTAAAGTGTTACCAAATAAAACAACATGAAAACAGAATGATAGAAAGTCATAGAAGATGTGAAACAGAGACAGGCAGAAATATTAAGAAAGAGAGAGAGAAAGAAAGAAGAAAGAAAGTAGACTACTTATGGCTGAGAGAGGGTCTAGCACAGTCCAGGTGAAGGAGACACACACACACACACACACACCACTCTCTCCATCCACATTACATAAGCTTCTCTGCTCAGCAGCACCACCGCATTGTCAACCTAAAGCCATATTATCCTCCCCGAAGGACACACACACACACACACACACACCACTCTCTCCATCCACATTACATAAGCTTCTCTGCTCAGCAGCACCGCCGCATTGTCAACCTAAAGCCATATTATCCTCCCCATCCCTCTTATATCACACACACACACACACACACACACACACACACACTCTGTGACAGGAGACACATTCTCTTATGTAATACAAAGATGAAGAGAGAGACACAGAGGGAGCGGTGTCGTATGTTATGAGCAGGGATGGTCAGTGAACACGTGCTGTGAACACGTGTGTAAGTGTGTATGAGGGCTCAGACTCATGATGCGCTCTAATGACACGACCTACCAATCATCATCAAAAAACAGCGATCATGCAAAATATCCATCATATATATCTTTTGTTAGTTTTGACTGCTTTTATTGTCCTCATTTGTAAGTCGCTTTGGATAGAAGCATCTGCTAAATGACTAAATGTAAATATATATTAGTGCTGTCAAATGATGAATCGCATCCAAAATAAAAGTATTTATTTACATAATATATGTGTGTACTGTGTATATATAAATACATAAACATACAGTATATATTTAGAAAATGTTTACATGTATTTACATGTATATATTTATATTCATGTAATTTAATTTATATATATATTTAATATACAAGCATAAAATTTTTCTTAAATATACATGCATGTGTGTCTATTTATATATACATAATAAATATAC